TCCTTGAGATATCACAGGAGATATGCAGAGGACACAGGACAGCTCTTTTTTTTTTCTTGCACTAGACCAGGGGTGGGCAAACTTTTTGACTTGAGGGCCGCAATGGGTTCATATATTGGACCCGGGGGCCGGACCAAGAGTAGATGAATGATGTGTATGTGTCATCCATAGTAAGTATAGTAATATTCCCCATAGTAAGCATAGTAATTAATCCCCCATATAGTAATTCATCCCCCATAGTAATTCATCCCCCATAGTAATTCATCCCCCATATAGTAATTCATCCCCCATAGTAATTCATCCCCCATAGTAATTAATCCCCCATATAGTAATTCATCCCCCATAGTAATTCATCCCCCATAGTAATTAATCCCCCATATAGTAATTCATCCCCCATAGTAATTCATCCCCCATATAGTAATTAATCCCCCATATAGTAATTCATCCCCCATAGTAATTCATCCCCCATAGTAATTAATCCCCCATAGTAATTAATCCCCCATATAGTAATTCATCTCGCATAGTAATTCATCCCCCATAGTAATTCATCCCCCCATAGTAATTCATTCCCCATATTAATTCATCTCCCATAGTAATTCATCCCCCATAGTAATTCATCCCCCCCATAGTAATTCATTCACTTACCTTTGCTCCGCGCATTCCTCTCGCCGTGTTCCCGTGCCGTTCCGGTCTTCAGGGCGGACTGTGAGAGGAGCCTAGCTCCCCTCACGTTCGTCACGCTGCCCCGCCTACACACATCCTGACAGCATCACGCTCCACGGGCCGGATTAAAAGGTCCGCCGGGCCGTATACGGCCCGCGGGCCGTAGTTTGCCCATTGCTGCACTAGACATATCAAAATGCATCCAATGTCATTAAAGGGAACCCAATAACAATAGTTAATTGTTCAGGTTTAAAAAATGCAGAGGGAATCATAGGCATTAATTCTTGGTATGGAAGTTCTCTTGGCACCAAAATGTTTAAGTAGTTCTTTAGCAGCATCGCAAAGACAGCCATCATGTTTCAGGGGTCTCACACTTCCCCTTCATCAGGGTTAAAAAAAAAAGTCCCAGGTTTCCCAGTGACACCTGGATACATTTTCACATGAGATTTTATTCTTGCAAGTGCAGGATTACAGATTACCCTGGTAGCCCTGCCCTGAAGGTAAACCTCTTCCCAGTACATGGCTAATTATTGAGCTAAAGTCTTATCAAACCGATAGAGTCCCATGCATGCATTCCTGAATAATACAGGAACTCCAAATCCGCCATAGTATCATGTGCTGTTCATATCTAAAACTTCATAGTAAGATTAAAATACATCAAAACAACTTACTTTGTAGCAGATGCTTTAATTCCAAAGTTCTGACCTCAGTAATTTGTCTCCAGGATTGTTGGACCAGAGCTGTCAGAAAACATATGTATGTTCAGTATAATACTGTAAATATGCACATTTTAAGGTATGTTTGTTATAGGGGCTGATTATATATATGTGCAGGTGTATATAGGTGAAAAAAATAAATTTAAATGAGACCATATTATAGTAAACTGTAGGAGTGATGTCTATATATATATATATATATATATATATATATGTGTGTGTGTGTGTGTGTGTGTAAAAATAATATAGGCATCACGCTTACAATTTACTATATATTGTCTCATTTTTGGGTAGGTAGCTAAAGCTTGCAATCAGTACTCTAAAACAATAGTATGACGTATTATTGGTGTACAGCAGATCTGAAGGGGGAAATCACAGATTTAGAAATTTGTGATAAATGCACCAGAAAGCATAGATGTGTATTGATGTTGATATGCAGATAGGGTACATTTTCTCCAAACCAGTTCCCCCATAAAGGTGGAAGCAGAACACATTTGACTTCATCATAGTTCCCCCTTACATCACTTGTCCTCATCAGAGTGCCCCCTTATATCAATGGTCCTCATCAGAGTGCCCCCTTACATCAGTTATCTCCATTAGAGCCCCCTCTTAAATCAGGTGTCCCCGTCAGAGTGCCCCTTTACATCAGGTGTCCCCGTCAGAGTGCCCCCTTACATTAAATGTCCCCATCAGACTGGCTCACGGATCAGTGGATGCACTCTCAGAAGCTTGGTGTTGGCGGTGGGGGGGGGGCAACTTTACTCTGGGGGCACAGCCCGCCCCAGAACCTCCCTAGTTCCGGGCCTGGTGCATGGTCAACCCAAAGCTCATTACACACGTTACATCTTGACTGTACAATACCCTTTAGATCTGCCAACGATGTATGTACTATATGTAGTACAAGGGCCTGTCTGGATACAAATTGGTTGGATAAATTATATAGGTTCTTATATTACTTAGTAAAGATTGTACAGGAAATGTATGGTTAGATTGTAATATGTATGTTGCCTATGATTACTCCATTATTCAGTTTATATCAGTCTCCTCTGAGTTATTGGGAGTGTTGGGTTATATTGATCTTTGAATTTTTATCAGAAATAAGCAGAACATTAATTGCAACACCAACACAGGTCTGCTGCAGTTTGCCAGTACAATTGTTCATTTTTCATATACAATGAGATTAGTTTACGAAAAATATCATGGTGGCATTTTTTTTAAAAGGACATCCAGCCTATGACTTCCAAGCTGTTGTGAAGCTACAGGTCCCAGCATTCCAATGGTTGGACAATGAAAGAGCTGTAGTCATGTTGTCAATTACCTGTATAGCACCCAATACTTTGTATACTGTGTACTTAGTTACATACATCTCTGTAAAGCCTCCACTGCATGTATGTAAATGACATCCTGCAATGAGGATTGGCCTCAGGCTAGCCCCAGAGCTGGTAAAGTGCATGCCTTCCTCTTCATTAATTAGAAATAACCACACATACATTGTTTGTTTGCCTTTAATAATTTTGTCCGTACATCAGCTGGGCACACTATGATTATTTTTTTTTTTAAACCTATCTGATGTTCATCTGTTATGATCTGCATAAGTTTTTTGGATTAAAAAGCATTCTACAATCTGCAAGATGTCATTTGGATCAAATCACTGTCTGCTAATATTACTGAGATTGCAAGTTACAGCTATCTTGCCATAACTGGATCAGTTATAGAGCTCACACTTGCAGTGGTTAGTTTGGAGAAGCAGAACATCATTATTCATTCAAATAATTACGTTCAAAAGCCCTTAATAAGTTAGGCCAGACACACTACTTGACTGGATTGCCAGGCATATTCTACAGGATTCTTTGTTTATAAAATCAAGAAAAGAATAATGTAAAGTAATATTTATTGAATCAATTCCCACTTGCAGGACGTTCCCATACTTCCTCAGATTTAAGTGGTTTATACAAGATCCATGGCTGCAGCTGCAGTCATGACCCCAGTATCTTTTTTTTTTTTTTTTTTCAGCTGACTATGCTCTTTAATGTAAATGCGATCCTAGCGGCTAAATAGCTGCTCGGTCACTTTTACATGTGGTTGCCTTTTCGGGCTCTCCTGTTCCACTGGGGAGTCCTGGGATTGAAGACAGCGGTTCCACTGGCTTACAATAGAATTGATCGAGAGACCAGAAGTTCCCCAATCATCTCTATTGTCTAAGAAACAGAAATTGACAAGGATTTTGTCAGTTCCGGTTCCCCTCAGATGTAAACAAGACATTCCTGGCTTGTGAAAGCATCTGATCAAACTGATCTTGGCTTGATCAGATGCTTTTAAGGGCAGAGGATAGATCTGGAGTCTAATAGGCCCCAGATGTCTCATTAAAGAGAACCTGTCACTGCCCATGCTATCAAACTGGATGTTGGTCATCCACTGTGACAGCAATAAAAGTGAAAAAAAAAAGTTTTAATGAAATAATTTAAAAAAATTAAAATGCCCGTGCACAGAGGTGAACACATATGTAGATCCCACACGCATATGTAAACAGTGTTGGCACCATACATGTATTGCCATGAAAGTTATAGTGAGAGCAATAATTGTAGCACCAGACCTCCTGTGTAACTCTAATCTGGTAACCTGTAAAGGCTTTTAAAGCTTCACCTATGAGGAATTTTAAGTACTATAGTTTGTCACCATTCCAGTTTGTCACCATTTGAAGTGTGTCATGTTAGGTATCCATTTACTCGTAAAATCATCTTTATATTTTACCAAACAAATGGGTATTATATTGTGTTTTTGTTCAATAAAATTAATTAAAGTGTATTTTTTCCCTGTACTGTGCGACATAAAAAATGCAACACCCACCATTTCATTCTCTACGGCCTCTGCTTTAAAAATGTATCATGTTTGGGGGTTATAATTAATTCTTACATGTATGACAGAAATGTCATGTAAGAATGACAGAAATTGGTCAGGGGGCTAAGTAGTTAAATTAATAAATATACTGTATATTTATATACATTATATGTTCGTAAGCCCAAGGGGTCGTAGTAGCCATACTATACTATATATACATTTTTTTTTTCTTTTTTCATTTGCCTATACAAAAAAAACTTTCCCATCCTTCACCTTCAATTTTTCTCATCACTACAGTCAAAAGCAACCGTCAATTTGTCCCAATTAATCTTTAAAAAAATATGAATGTTTTCATAATGAGCATTTCCTAACTAAATTCCAACCGTGTATGGCCAGGTTATACTTTGGCTTTAAAAACACAATCTTTCTTAAGAACACTGCACTCCCAGCATTCCTTTATATGTGGACATACACTATATTGCCAAAATTATTGGGCCTTAATATACACATGAACTTTAATGGCATCCCAGTCTTAGTCCATAGGCTTCAATATTGAATTGGCTCACCGTTTGCAGCTATAACAGCTTCAGCTCTTCTGGGAAGGCTGTCCACAAGGTTTAGGAGGGTGTCTATGGGAAGGTTTGACCATTCTTCCAGAAGCGCATTTGTGAGGTCAGGCACTGATGTCGAAACGAGAAAGCCTGGCTGTCAGTCTCCGCTCTAATTGGAACATGTTGGAACTAGTAGGGGCCATCCCCAAACTGTTCACATGAAGTTGGGAGCATGAAATTGTCCAAAATGTATTGATATGCTGAAGCCTTCACTGGAACTAAGGGGCCAAGCCCAACCCCTGAAAAACAACCCCACACTATAATCCCCCCTCCACCAAACTCTACACTTGGCACAATGCAGTCAGGCAAGTACTGTTCTCCTGGCAACTGCTAAACACAGACACGTCCAGCAGATTGCCAGACAGAGAAGCACGATTCATTATTCCAAAGAACACGTCTCCATTGCTCTATAGTCCAGTGGTGGCATGCTTTACACCACTGCATCCAACACTTTGCATTGCACTTGGTGATGTAAGGCTTGGATGCAGCTGCTCGGCCATGGAAACCCATTCCATGGAGCTCTCTACGCACTGTTGTTGTGCTAATCTGAAGGCCACACCAAGTTTGGAGGTCTTTAGCCATTGACTCTGCAGACAGTTTGCGATTTCTGTGCGCTTTATTCATGTGCTGACCCCGCTCTGTCATGTTACGTAGCCTACCACTTGGTGGCTGAGTTGCTGTTGTTCCCAGTTGCTTCCACTTTGTTATAATCCCACTAACAGTTGGCCGTGGAATATTTAGTAGCCAGGAAATGTCACGGATGGACTTATTGCACAGGTGGCAACCTATCACGGGACCACGCTTGGAGTCACTGAACTCCTGAGAGCGACCCATTCTTTCACAAATGTTTGTAGAAGCAGTCTGCATGCCTAGGTGCTTGATTGTATACACCTGTGGCCATGGAGGTGATTGGAACACCTGAATCCAATGATTTGGAGGGCTGGCCCAATACTTTTGGCAATATAGTGTATTTCAATAAAAAGAACCCCCCCCCCCCCCCCCCCCAATGAACCTGGCCATGGATTCCATATTCCACATGTTCCATACAACCTTAGAGTGCATATAAATTCTAACAATACATTTTCCTTACTTGCACTCTTTTGGTCTATAAATACCATTGAAAGGGTTTTATTACATCTGTTTGGCAAACGCAAATGAAAAATAAAAAGCTGTTCATCCAGCTAGAAATCATGTGAGCTGATAGCATCCTTTGCTCTCTGAACTGTTATCAGTTAAAATTGTTCCCTGCTATCATTGTGGACCACAAAACTCCTCCCACTGTTATGGATAGGAGAGGGAGGTGTCATGCAGTCCTAACTCACTCCCAGCTCTAGGGTAAAAAAGCTGCTCAGTATAGTCACCCTGGGACAGGAAGTGGGGTAATGGCAAGACCACCAGGTTAACACAAAGGAACAGTGTGAAAAAGAGAAAACTAATGCAGCCCAGGGGCGGACTGACAACTCATCGGGCCCTCGGGCAATAGGGGATCATGGGGCCCCTGTGTCCTTGCCCAAACTCAAAAAAGCCTATGAAAAAGGTACCAGGGGCATCTCATGGGGCCCCCTACTGACCCCGAGCCCTCGGGCAGTGCCCGAGTTTCCAAATGGTCAGTCCGCCCCTGATGCAGCCACTACATCTAAGGACCAGTAAGCTACAATACTATCAATTTTTGCTTTTGGGTTTAGATATGCTTTAAGCTGAGACCTGAAAACACAAAATACTGTTACTAAGTTTGCAAGGAGGACATTTTTTGGCAGTCACACAAAATGATTGGTGGCTGCAGAATTGAATGAAAGAAAATAAAAAAAAGAGTGTGTGTATGTGTATGTGTATATATATATATATATATATATATATATATATATATATATAAAATAAAACATTATATAGCAAACAAAAAAAGTCTTCAGTAGCAATGACATGAAATGGTTCCATATAATTGGAGCTTTCTTTGAAATGCACCTTCCAGCTGCCCTGATCCGATGGGATGGTGCCGTAGCTGGAGGAATGTTCTCTTACCTGTCGAAGGAGATGTCTTTCCTTCATCTTCAGGAACACACAATGAGCATGTAGAACTTGTTTGTGTCAGTCTAGCCACTTCCCTTTGTCCAATCACATGCACCTTGTAAAGTCACACAGTACGCCACACCTTCCAGTATAGATATGACTGCAGGTTATTCATAGCTGAACGCTTAACACCTGAAGACGCACAAAGGTAAGCAATGGGGATCCAGCTGGCTGAGGGGTAGAGAGTACGCCATGGAGTAGACTGTATGGAAATGTTAGTGTGGGGTGCTCATGATTTATTGTCCAGGTGGATGGATAGGTATCAGATCAAGTTGTAAAGGATTAGTCTACCCAATAATATTTCAGTTTTAGCCTGACACTGGTAGGCTGAGTATCTCATGCAGGTTATACCGATAAGATCTAATTTTTTGCGTTCTTCTATCTAACTTCTGTCATGGAGTCTTCTTTTAGTGAACCTTTTGGCCTGATCAGATCCACCTGTCGGCTGTTTAGGGGGATCTGAACTGATGTTCCATGTTAGTGGCAGGTGGATTTAAATGGACCTGCGTCCTTTTATATGCGATTACCTCTGAGTCCATCTAGGTCCAGAAAAAGAATGGAAAGGTCTACGTCCTTTTCCATCTTTCGGAAATGTGATGGATCAGAGGTAGTCAGATGTAAATGGACACGTCTGTCGACGTCCTCCTGCCCATAGACCTAACATGCGTCCAATAAGCACTCTTAAGCAAAACTGAATTATTTGGATCCATACCATTCGGATCCATATCATACTGATCCATACCATTCAAATTCATTCCATTTGGATACAAACCATTCGGCTCCAATTCAGGAAGGAAGCAGGGTCCAATAAGCTCTGGGAGACAAAACTGAATTATATGGATCCATACTATTCTGATCCCTACCATTGTAATCCATATTATTTGGATCCATACCATTTTGGCTACAATTTAGCAAGGAATCTTGGTCCAAGAAACTCCGGGAGCCAAAACTGAATTCTTTGGACCTATACCATTCGGATTCATATCATACTGATCCATACCATTCAAATTGGATCCATATAATTTGGCTCCAATTTAGCAAGGAAAGTTGGTCCAAGAAACTCCGGGAGGCAAAACTGAATTATTTAGACCTACTGTATACCATTCGGATCCATATCATACTGATTCATAGCATTCAAATGCATTCCATTTGGATACAAACCATTCGGCCAAATGTGGGTCCATGAAGCTCTGGGAGGCAAAACTGAATTATTTGCACCTATACCATTCAGATGTATATTATACTGATCCATACAATTTAATCGATTTATACTATATGGCTTCAATTTAGCAAGGAATGCGGGTCGTAGAAGATTCGGCAGGCAAAACGGAATTATTTAGACCCACACCTTTTGAATCCATACCATTTGGCTTACATTAAGCCAACAATTTGATCATGTCCATTCTGATCAGTAGTCAATGGACATGGCCAGCACAAAAGGTCCCCAATGCTTCTGCATTATCTTTCTTTCCAAAAAAAAGAATCCCTTGTGGGGGTGCCTAATAGAGATGAGATGGAAGTCTACTGATCAGTGGCGTCCCGAGGCAGGTGTGGGGGGTGCAGTCCACACCAGGTGATACCGACCGCAAGGGGTGACACCGGACCTGCTCCACAAAAAGGTACGTTGTAAAGAAAGCCGACGATCCCTGCAGGATGGATCGGATCCATCCTGCGGGGATCGTCGGCTTTCTTTACAACTTACCTTTTCTTGGAGCGGGTCCGGTGTCACCCCTTATAGGTTGCATGCCGACGATCCTGCGGGGATCGTAGGCATGCAACCTATACGGGGTGACACCGGACCCACTCCAAGAAAAAGGTAAGTTGTAAAGAAAGCCGATGATCCCCACAGGATGGATCAGATCTTCAGATTGAGCATAATGGATCGGAGTCCAATCCATTATACTCAATCCGCAGATTCAATCCATTCTGCGGGGATCGTCGGAGGGGGTGTCACCAAGTGTTACCGCACCGGGTGACACCAACCCTAGGGACGCCTCTGCTACTGATCCTTTCTGGAGAGAGGTGGAGATGATCATTTCCTTCATGACTGTTGTCTGTGTAAAGGGGATGTCTTGGCTTATTGCTATGATTTGCCCCAAGTCAGGGCTAGGACTGTCTCTAGATCTGTGAAGCCCTTCCTTCCTCACATGACACTTATGCAACCTCAGCAGTTCCCTCGCTGTCCACGGCTTGAATACTTTCTGAATCACAAACCCCGAATGTGAGCAGATCTGGATAAGTAGATATGAATATTTGTTCTAGGGGGATTTAGAAAGTATTGACATCAGGGACAGCCAGGGAAGTCGCCTTTTTCAGACAGAGAGGTTGGCTATGGCAGACGTCATTGCCTTGAAAAGCAATCTGTCTAGAAAGAAACAAAGGATCAGCTGGTATGTGGTCACATGATCTCTACTGAAAGGATGTATCAGCCAACCTGAGCTCTACATACGGCAATTGAACTCCTTAACTTTTGATCACATGAAAAAGAGCGCAGAGCATCATTTGCTCCAGGAAAGGTGTTTTAGCCTCTCTCTCTTTTACCCATCCATAGCCAGATCATTTAGGCTCCCTGCACACTAGCTGCTCCTAGAAGCTATTATCGGTATATATTTTTCTGCTCCTAGAAGCTATTATCAGTATATATTTTTTTCTGCCCCTAGAAGCTATTATCAGTATATGTTTTTTCTGCCCCTAGAAGCTATTATCAGTATATATTTTTCTGCCCCTAGAAGCTATTATCAGTATATATTTTTTTTCTGCCCCTAGAAGCTAGTATCAGTATATATTTTTCTGCCCCTAGAAGCTATTATTAGTATATATTTTTTTTGCCCCTAGAAGCTATTATCAGTATATGTTTTTTTTCTGCCCCTAGAAGCTATTAACAGTATATATTTTTTCTGCCCATAGAAGCAAGTATCAGTATATATTTTTCTGCCCATAGAAGCTATTATCAGTATATATTTTTCTGCTCCTAGAAGCTATTATCAGCTATTATCAGTATATATTTTTCTGCCCCTAGAAGCTATTATCAGTATATATTTTTTTTTCTGCTCCTAGAAGCTATTATCAGTATATATTTTTCTGCCCCTAGAAGCTATTATCAGTATATATTTTTCTGCCCCTAGAAGCTATTAGTATATATTTTTTTTCTCCTAGAAGCTATTATCAGTATATATTTTTTCTGCCCCTAGAAGCTAGTATCATAGTATATTTTTTCTGCCCCTAGAAGCTAGTAGTATCAGTATATATTTTTCTGCCCCTAGAAGCTAGTATCAGTATATATTTTTCTGCTTCTAGAAGCTAGTATCAGTATATATTTTTCTGCCCCTAGAAGCTAGTATCAGTATATATATTTTTCTGCCCCTAGAAGCTATTATCAGTATATATTTTTCTGCCCCTAGAAGCTATTATCAGTATATATATTTTTCTGCCCCTAGAAGCTATTATCAGTATATATATTTCTGCTCCTAGAAGCTATTATCAGTATATATTTTTCTGCCCCTAGAAGCTATTATCAGTATATATTTTTCCGCCCCTAGAAGCTATTATCAGTATATATTTTTTTCTGCCCCTAGAAGCTACAGACTGTTATCCTATGTGTCCATGCACACTACTTTGGGCTATTACCATTTTTTGAGCTTCAACATCTAGGAGCAGAAAAAAAAAATCGTTTTGTAGAGTTTTTTGGAACATTATTCCAGCAGAAAAAAATGCTAAACGCTACTAAAACGCTCCTAACCGCTTTTTTAGCTAGCTTTTTTTTTCCTCTACTGTACTGTAAAAACGCTAATGCTCCTAAAGGCTACTAAAATGCTACTAAAAAATGCTATTAGCAGCGTTTTTTAATCCAGCATTTTCCCAGCATTGTTTTAGCTTAAGATAAACGCTAGTGTGCATGGAGCCTTACTCCTTTATTTCCATCACACCAAGAATTAGCTTTTAAGTGTTACTAAACCCACAACAGTAAAATCAGTCTGTATATGCAGTAAAGCATGCTTGTTATACTCACTGTGGAACCTAAGGGGTTAATCCTCTGCATGGTGTAAAAAGGCTGTTTGATCTTTTCTTCTCTGATCCTCCCCTTCTGCTACTGTTCCCAATCCATCTGCTGATAGTACAGAGCCCTAGGAGGCACTCTGCACATGCTCAGTTTAGTGTTTATTGCTAGAGAGTTTTTTATTCTTCGGGAGGGTGCATGTCATCAACACAGGACCAATCAGCACTGTCCAGACAGAGGGTCAGGGGGTTATGCAGCCTCATTGGACAGTCAGAGGAGAATGAAAACTCCTCCTACAAGCTTTGACCAGTGCTCGGCAGGACACTGATATAAGTCACAAAACTGCTGATGAGAAAAGGTATTTAGCAGTTTATATTTACTAAAATAATTGCATTTCCATGTTGTGTGTACTGTGGGAGACCATGTATAGTGAATGCAGGGTCCGGGGAGAGCAAATATAGTGAATGCAGGGTCCGAGGAGACCAGATTTAGTGAATGCAGGGTCTGGGGAGACCAGATATTGTGAATGCAGGGTCCTGGGAGACCAGATACTGTATAGTGAATGCAGGGTCCTGGGAGACCAGATATAGTGAATGCAGGGTCCGGGGAGACCGGATAAGTGAATGCAGGGTCCGGGGAGACCAGATATAGTGAATGCAGGGTCCGGGGAGACCAGATAAAGTGAATGCAGGGTCTGGGGAGACCGGATATAGTGAATGCAGGGTCCTGGGAGACCAGATACTGTATAGTGAATGCAGGGTCCTAGGAGACCAGATATAGTGAATGCAGGGTCCGGGGAGACCGGATATAGTGAATGCAAGGTCCGGGGAGACCAGATATAGTGAATGCAGTGTCCGGGGAGACCAGATATAGTGAATGCAGGGTCCTGGGAGACCAGATATAGTGAATGCAGGGTCTTGGGAGACCAGGTATAGTGAATGCAGGGTCCGGGGAGACCAGATATAGTGAATGCAGGGTCCGGGGTTTAGTAACACTTTAGAGTAAAGTGGTTGTTAACCCTTCCATATACCCAGTGAAGCAGAGGCGGACTGACCATTTGGAAGCTCGGGCACTGCCTGAGGGCCCGGGGTCAGTAGGGGGCCCCATGAGATGCCCCTGGTACCTTTTTCGTAGGCTTTTTTGAGTTTGGGCAAGGACACAGGGGCCCCATGATCCCCTATTGCCCGGGGGCCCCATGAGTTGTCAGTCCGCCCCTGCGGTGAAGTGACTGGCCTCAGATGACACACAGAGTTGAAAAAAATCCTCCTACATAAGTTGTACCTGTCTGTCTGCAGTCTGTTCAACATCTTTTCAAAATGCTAAATTTATAAAGCTTATCTTGTTCAGAAGAAGTGGATGGAGAGCTGATATTACACTCTGCAGATCTCCGTGAGGAGAACTCTGAAAGCTGATTGGAGGGAAGAGACACCCCCCCTTCCTTCCACACAGCTCACAGGAACAGAGCTGAGGCTGTCAATCTGCTGGATGTCCCTCCCCTGTCACCATTTTTCTCTTGGTGTTAGGAAAACTTGTCAGAAGTGACAGATAGCAAAGGAAAAAAGCAGCAGATAGAAATGACACTTATGCTTTTAATTGAGACAAGTACACACTATAGAGGGATATGCTTCATTTTTCATGTCTGAAGCTAAAAAACCAAAAATCTATTTTTTGGTATGTTTAGCATCACGTCTCATTGGGTACAGGTGTGTTGAGTCAACCAAGTTTGTATATTTATTGCAAAGTTTCTTACTTGGAGATCCTGCCACTAACTTCCCAATACAGGCTGACAACACCAGGCCACTGCCTTACAATTCACAGCAATGTTGTCAGCCTGCTATGCGCGCTCCTTCAGTCTGCCTTTGGGCTGCCTATCAGGTCTTTCAGAAAGGTAGTCCAACGGACAGCTTAAGGAGTGTGCTTGGCAGCCTGACAACACTAGTGCTAATTGTATGGCAGTGGCTTAGTGTTGTCAGCCTGCAAAAGGAAGTGCTGTTAGTGGCAGGATCGCCAGGTAAGAAACTTTGCAACACAATCACAAAAATAAAAAAATTGCTTAAGAAAATTGTACACAGTGAAGCATCAACCCCGACATACTATAAAATATTATAGAGTGGACATTTAAGAGTATGGGCTCATTCACTAGCGCGGTGCCCTCTGAAGAGCCATCACTGCATCGCTGTTCAGAGGGTATTTGAGAGCCGGTGAGGAGATGTTGTGTCACCTCCTCAACACGTGATTTAACCCTGTAAATGCACACGGTTGCAGTGCTGCCCCATTGACTTGTATTGAACGCGATTGGCTGCGGTTACTTCCGACAAATGTGGCGTGCTGTTTAATTTTTGCACAGCTGTGAACCACAGCATTGTGCACATGACCTGTACATAGCCCTACATTGCTGTAAGCGCAGATTCAGGTGGGCATTTGGGGGGCGGTAAAACCGTGGTTTTACCTTCCCTTAGCTGCACAAGTGAAGGAAGCATTAGGGTTAGCATTTGTTTTTTTTTCTCATCTGTGACCCTATAGGGGAAATTTTTCACCACTCCCTGTCACTGTCAATGGTGGGATTGTTTGTCTCTGCAAGAAGGAGACACAGACAACTGTGGATGAACATTGATCTTCATGACTGATGTGGATCTGCCTCGCTGGATTACATGATTGTAGATTGTGGGACAATTTTTTTTAACAACATAAAAAACTTTTTTTTTTTTTTTTTGTTTTTTTTTTAATTTTAATATTTACATTTGTTTTTTGTGACTGGGGGGGTATCGGGGGGCCCTCTTAATAATAAATGAAGCTTCCATATTCCATTAACCCCCTTCCTGTGACAGACTACCACAACCACTGAGCCAGAAAAAAAAGAAATACTGAAAAAAGAACAATTTTTTTTACGTTACAAATAATACAAAACAATTTCTTAAAATTTAATTTCTTCATATATTTAGGCAAAAATGTATTCTGCTACAAGTCTTTGATAAAAAAAAAAATCCCAATACATGTATATTGATTGGTTTGCATGAAAGTTATAGTGCTTACAATCTATGGGATAAATACTGGAATTATTTTTTATATATTACTACTAATGGCGGCGATCAGTGATTTATAATGAGGCCTGTGGGAGTGTGACGGGCAATCTGCCACTGACTGCCACTGACATCATTGGTGACTTTAATACAGTGCTCAGTGATAATACTATACCCTTTAACTGTATTAATGACACTGGCTGGGAAGGGTTAACATGCAGGGCAATCAAGGGGTTAAATGTGTGCCTAACTATGTGTAATATGTGTTGCTTTTACTATAAGATCTCTTTGTTTCTCATCCATGCTTTGTGCACATGCAAAAGAAACCTAGAAGTAGGCAGATATACTGCTACAGGGCGGCACAGGTGTGCAAAATCACATATATATACGTGATTTTGCATTTCCGGATAAGGGGCGCCGCCACGGCTGTCAATTACTGGGTCCCAGTCGGTGATTACTCGCTGGTGCCCGGTGATTGTTGAGCATCTCCGACGGGGAGGAGAACTGTATGTAAACAATACAGTTCTCCTCCCTGTCAGCTCGTGCACATTGTGATTACAGTGAAGCCCACACACAGAACTTACTGTGAAACAGCACACAGTTAACACTTTGATCACCCATCATGTTAACCCCTTCCTGCCCAGTGCCATTAGTACAGTGACAGTGCTTTTTTAAGCACTGATCACTGTATTGGTGTCACTGGGGATGTCAGTGACACCAAGTCAGTTCCCCTCAGAATGCCCGCTGCATGTGACGCTTTAAAATTGTGCATGCTCACGAAATGGCAACCATTGAGAGTACTTAAATTTTTTTAAATTTTTTACAAGTTACCTGTGTAGAGTTACAGAAGAGGTCTAGTGCTAAAATTACTGATCTCGCTCTAACAATCGCGGCGATACCTCACGTGTGCGGCAAACACGTTTACATATGTGTGTGCGATTTACACATGCGTTCGTTTCTGCGTGCGTTCGTTTTCTTTTTCATTTTTACACTGTCCCTTCAAATTTTTTTTTTAAATCACTTTTATTCCTCTAGAAATATGCATGACAGGTCCTCTTTAAGAAGAGATCTCAGCTCAAAAAAGATCCCAAATCACTTTGTTACCTTTTAAAAGCAAACGAATAAAGAAAAAACTTTTTTTGAACTTTTGCGTTAAAAAAGAAAAAAAATGTGTTTACGTCCGGTCCTCAATCATGATAGAGGAGATCAAAGACCATAGAGTCTTTCATCGCCTCCATCTTCAGCAGGCCGGACCATCTGATCATTTCTCGGGCCGGCCGGTGTTAACGCTGAGCCCGAGAAACACCGGCAAGAGGCGGAGGGGGGGGGGGGGGGGGGCAGTGCTATGGCCACTTTCAGCAGAAAGCTGGCTGTTTGTTGAAAAAAACAATATGATTATATTATGTATATTATATATTTTAAATATGATTTTTTTCAGCCATAACCCCGTAAACCACTTGACAACGACAACGTTTGTATATGTATTGCAGTCTTTAAGCGGTTTTTAAACACATTTTTTTCTTTGTAAATGTCAGTGCTGCTGTAATAGACTGTATACATCCTAGAGATGCACCACTTCATAGGCAGGGTCAGGACATCCCCCAATCACATTATTTATTGACCTTTTGCATTTTTAATGTTGCTTTTAAGAATGACTTAAAAGAACTGCTACCCACCAAACAGAATTTTTTCTCTTGGTACCTGTTCCCCAGGGCAGTGCTCAGCCCCGGTGACATTTGTTTGACAATCCCTTGCCTATTAGCCTTGCCTTAGAAAATGCTCAGAACTGATCTTTACAATTTTGCTCCCATTGACTTCAATGGGGTTTTGATTTGGCACACAGGGAGAGATCATTGTCACTCAATAATAACCGGCGCCTGAACAAGGTCCTTCATGACAGGCTCACTTGATATTATTTTGATTAGATTAGAAAAGATTGCAAAATTACTTTTTTAATTGCAATTAACATATTAAAAATGATATGAGATTTTAGTGATTAGGTTTAGTTCTTTAAACTCCCTGGCGGTCTGATTATTTCAGATTTTTGGTGCTGAAAGCGGTACCATTATTTTGCATTGAAATTTGGCATTTTATATTGTAGGCCTGTAATTCTTAGGAATAACTCACTGAAATCTGTCCCGAACAAGAGTCTAGTAAACATCCCGGGTAGGATAAACCTTGAAACACGAAATCATGAATTATAATTTAATAAATAATCATAAAAAATAATATAATAATAAATTTAATTCAATAATATAATCAAACCAAAAATAGAAATAGAGCGCCAAGTTCGCACATCACTGAGCAAAGTTGCAAAATCATTTTCAGTGTCTGATGACGAATTTCCCCCACGAATCATTATCACTCAATTCTGCAAGTGGTTTTGATTTACTATCGCTGTTCTCTAGCTGGTCTAAAACCGATTTTGACCTAAAGGGACGCTTTTTGGACGCCATGGACGTTTCTCAGTTTCCCAGGCAGAAAGAACAGTAAAAATGCAGGCAGGGCACAGGACAAAGCACTCGGGACAAAATGTATGTGAAATGGTTTGATACAGGAATGTTATACTATGTGATTTTAGTAAATGTCACTTTTTGTCACTTTTAAATTTCCCGCCGTTCCGTCCCCCGTACATCCCGGCGCTCGCAGGGGACGGAACCCAGATGACAGATGCCGGCATTCGCCGGATTACATTGCCGGGGACACTGCAGGAGGGACATCGCGGGAGCGCAGGACAAGGTAAATGACTGAGGGATCGCGGAGCAGCGCTGCATGGTATTCCCAAATGTAGCTCAGGGTTACCGCTTGTGGTACTGAAACTTTACCCCGAGCTACACTCGGGAATACCGCCAGGGAGGCTACAGATTATATGAACCCAACATTTCATATTTCTGGTATGTGCCTGCTGTACCATGTACTTGTATGGAAAAGTATCCTGTTCTCTTTGTATTGCTTCCTTTGTATGAAATCTCTGGTGTTTCTGCCAGTCCCCTCTGCTTTCCTACTAAAAACGGACCACACTAAGCAGGAGAACACAGCATGGGAAAATGTGTGTACTGTTGTTTCTCCTCCCCTAG